GCCAGGTGAGGCAGGGATTTACTATTGGGGCATCCTACCCCACAGTGAATACTCGCTGCTGGCAGCCTCCCTTAAAGACAAGCCACCGCAATGGGCAGGAGGGGACAACATCCCCGTTTTGGGACATTCTCACACGGCTGTGTGTGAGCGCAGAGCCAGGACTTTCTGCTAGCCAGAGTGTGCAAGAAAACAGGAACAGAGAGAAGGGAGGGATATCAGCGCAGGGACTGGAACTGATTCCTCATGGGCACTTCCTAGCCCTGGATCACTCTCTGTTAGTCTGAGGTCTTCAGTCTCTGGGGCTTCTCTGTACCCAGGACGCAGCCATGAAACGGGCAGAGGCTCCCAAGAAGGAGCTCTGCACGCTGCAGGCAAAGCAGCCTGGCAAAGCTGGGCCTTTGTGCCAGGCAGCCCTCTCCTTGCTGGGCTGACATGGGAGCCCAGGTCAGTGGTGCAGCAGCAGCCCTGCCTGCCCCTGTTTTCCGTGGCTGTGTGCTGCATGCGGGGACGAGGGGAGCACAGTCTCCTCCAGCCCTGCTCTGTGCAGCAGCACCACAAAGCCCAGGGGTGTCATATCTGGGCCATGCTACTTATAGCATCCGCGGGGCCTCACCGGGCTCCCGAGGGCCCTTCTGTCTCTCCAGTCAAGGGCAAAGCTGGCCTGCAGCCTCCCTTTGTTGTCCCCTCAAAGAAGGGGTGGGAAGGGCCTGGGGTTGGCTTGGCGCAGGGAGAAGCACGATCCCTTCGCAGCCCTCCTGTCAGCTGGAGCTCTGGGGCCAGGCAGAGTGGGGCCGTGCAAGGGCAGGCGCTGCACCAGGGGCAGGTGAACGTTCCCATCAGTCAAGCCTAGAGCTGCCATCTCCGCCAGATCTGCCAGATCAATAGCACTGATTCCCGGATGCCCTCCCTTACCCCTCCATCCCGTAACTCCCCAGCTCTAATGGTCCCGGAGAGGATGCCTGGTGTCTGTCCCCAGGAGTTCTGCCCCTGGTCCTGGTGGCTTGGACCTCACCCCTCCCCTCCCCAGCAATTAGCAGTGGGGCAGCAAAGGGTTTGCTGGTAGGGACGGGCTGCGGGGGCATCCTGCTGGCGGGTTTTGAGCAGGACCCGGAGTGTAGTGCTGTGCAGTGATCCCTGAGCAGGAGGGAGAGACGCTCGCCCTCCGTCCCGTGTTTGGGGGTAGGCTGAGGGCAGGGGAGAGCTGTTCCTCTTGGGAAGGATGTGCACCCACTTTTCTCCTAGAAGAAGGGCGTCCCCTGCAGCGGGATGTCCTTGGGGCAAGGCCAGGTTTTAACAGCTGCAGCAGCATCAGACCCCCGACTCATGGTCCCCCCCCAGTGCCTCTGCCCCCAGCCTGCCTCCTGCTGCTACTGAGGAGGGTCCTCCAGCTACCGGGAGCAGTGATGCCTCCAACACGCTCCAGCGGAGCAGAAGGACTCCCCACATGCCCCTGCTTTCTCTCCAGACGGGAGAGAGGGGCAGTTTGGCTGGTCTGAGCTCCTAGGAAAGCTGTCTGTGCCTTGCCTCTGCCTGCTTGTCCGTCTGTCCTGCTCCATCAACCCACGCCTGCTGGTACCCACGCTGCCGTGCTGCGCTCTGTCTGTCTGGCTCCTGCCTTGCCCCTGTTTATGCCTGGCTGGCTGTCTCTGACTGACACCTGCCACTGCAAACGCTGCCTGTCCCCCTCTCCATTTGTCTGTCTGTCTGTCGTCACTAGATTTTCTCCCCCCCGGCCCCTTCTCTTTTCCTTTGGCCACTATCTGGAGGCCTCTGCATTGAGTGTGACTTGGGGACTGATTTTCTCTGGTTTATGGATAGCAGCCAGACTGCAATCTGCAGTGAAGGGACTATCCAGCTGGAGAACCTCTGCAAGGAGCCTCCTGCAAACACCTAGGCAGGATGCTGGCTGCCAGCACTGCCCAGAAACTGCACAATCACGCCTGCCTCCACAGCACCGCCAGCCAGAGATGTAAAGGAAGCTAAAAATCTCTTGCAGTGGGACTTGGGCAACTTGCAAGCCTCCAGAAGCCTTTGAGCTTGAATTCCCTGGCTGCCTGTGCTGACATAGCTGGGGGTGGGGGTGTGGAGAAGACACAGCTTGTGGAGCTGTGGGGCTTAGATGTGAAAGGGACCGGTGCGTGTGCGCACGTGTGTGTGCGCATGGTTACGTGTGCTGCTCCACGTCACAGCCGTGTTTGTGCTTGCATTTTTCGCACCCTGATAATGTGGCAACACGCCTCTCCTGTTTGTCTGTTTGCAGGGTGCTGATCTGCTTCCAGTCGTGTGTGTTAGCGGGGGCTTTCTGTGACAGTTTGCCATGACTTTAAGCCCACCCGTAGCCAGCACTGTCCTGGTGTCTGCACCATCCTGGGTCACCAGCGTAGCTGTGGAGCTGTGCACGTCCAGCTGTGTATGACCCCTCGGCCGGGGTGTGTTTGACACCCGGCTGCCACAGCAGGTAGGGTCAGGCCTTTGCCCTCCTGGGCATCACGGGCCCCCTGGCCAGCCGGGGTGTCTTGGCCCCGTTTGGGGCAGCACGCCTGGAGCCCACGTAGCGAACGAGCAGCCGGAGCCAAAATTTTGTAGAATTAGCAAAACCCCACCGCACAGCCAGCTTGCAAAACCTCAGCGCTCGAATGTCACCTGGGATCAGGTTCTGCCGGAGCAGAATATGACTTTTCAGATCAACTTTCACAGTGCCAGCCCTTTTTGCAGAGCCCCGCCGGGGGCGAGGACAAGGCAGGCCATCCTGCATGCCTTTGGCTCCTTCCTGGGGTACCTTGGGACCCGAACTCCTGGGAGAGCAGCTCCCTGATGCTGCCCTCCTGTCCTCTCCACTTTGCCCAAGAGCAGGGATGAGTGGTTTTTTTGCCAGGCTGCTTTCTGGGTCCAAAGACATTTGGGCTGTGCAGCCGCAGCCCTGCTGAGCCCCTTCCCACGCAGTGAGAGGAGCCTGGGGGGAGCACGCCCTCGTTGGCATCAGTGAAGGCCCGTGGCCAGTGGCATCACAGCCACTGTGTCCCCCGCGGCCCCACCACCGATTCCCACGTGGAGGAGAACTGTGTCACCCAAGGGACTTGGTGCAGCCTGGCCTCGTCGGGCACCTGAGCTCTACCCATCTGGGGAGGGGGGCACACGTCCCCCCGCCTCAGCAAAGCTCTCCTTGCCACCCCCGAAGCACCCCCTCCTT